AAAGGGACAGGGGAGGGGGTACTGTAGGCCCCTCTGTGGGGAGGGGATGAGGGCGAATTCTGTGTGCTGCAAAGCTTAGGAGAATCCTACAGAAGAACTGTGCCAACCATTCAACAAGACAGTCCAAAGAAGAGGTTTAAAGGCCATCTTCCAAACCAGGACACTCTGACTTGCCTTACTACCACTATCAGAAGTCTACTAGTCACCTACAGTGGTACCATATTCCCTCTCTATCATTCTAACATGGTACACATTACTCCCTAATCTCTCAGAGTAGAAACTAGCTAGGGGCATTACAGATCCCTGAAGCAGCTCTCCAAATACCTGCCTCTCTGGATGCCAAAGGTTTGCTTTGCCATCTTTATAGTCAAGTACCCACCTGCCACGGCTAAAACTGGACAATGCTCCCCTGAAGTCTTCCCAGACAATGCCAGATACTAATCTATGGCCTGCCTCCACCCATTGCTGTTTCTCGGGGCATGCACACATGTAGGAACCACTAAGATAATGGAGACAACCATCCCCAAACCCAGAGGTACTCAACAGCTACCCTGTTACTACAGTAAAGAAGCCTCTCATACCCCATGTTTTAGCCCCTAATCAGAAATGTATCAATGGAAGGAATCTTGTATTTACCCTCCTTGCTTTTGTTTGGAAAGGATTCCTCAGCACCTTTGGGGACAGAAGTCTGACACAGAAACCACCCTTTCCCTCTTGGTACACTCCCCACATTACCTCTACCCTGCCTGCAGAGCCTAGCTACTTCTATGGCTGCCAGCCCACTCTGGAGCACAAGTGCCATGGCTTCTGGCCAGATATAGTCTTTCACCCAGAACAGGCCATTCTGTACAGACCAGCCAGGCATTCACTTCAAAACATAAACCACAAGCTACCTCTCTAGTCAGAATCCTTAAATGGCTTCCAAAGCATTTAGAATCAAATCCAAATTCTTTTCTTTTTTAATAATATGCAGCCATAGTTGGTTGGGAACTCACTATGCAGACCAGGCTAGCTTAAAGTTCATAGATTTGCCTGTGTCTGCCTTTGCCTCCAGGGTGTTGGGTTTGAAGGTGTGTGCAAATCTAAAATCTTTATCGTCGTTTATATCCTGAGGGCCCACACCCCGCTAATTCTCACAATCACAAGCACAGAGGCTTCTATTTCAAAGCTATCCAGTTCTTCCCCGGGTCTTCCTAAGTCCTAGCACTGGCCACCATAACCTCAGGTTCTTTATCACCATTTCAGCCATTGACTTGTCTTCAACATGCTCAAACTGCTATAATAAAATCAGACTTACAAACTTATTTCTCACAACTGCCAGGCCCTAAGGCAAATTCAGTGCCTAGGAGAGCCTGATCTTTGGTTCACAGATGGTCTCTTAGATGGCAGAATCACGTGGCTGTCAAGGACTGATGCCTTTTACAGTGATGTTACAGGCATCATGGAAGCTCTATGATCATGACTTAATCACCTCCAACCACCCCATCTCTTCAAACAACCACACTAGTGGCAGAGCTTAAAAACCTTTCTGGCCCCCTTCCGTGACTCTTTCTAGTTCACACATATAAGTCTTCCATCTCCAATACAAGACAAACTTAGAGACACTGTCTCACTCAAATATATATTTATATATATATGGCAGGTTTTCCATGAAGTATTTTTGGGTGGGATTTTACCAGTAGACAGCTAGGTTTCATTCAGATGCCAAATAATATACTGCCCACACAAAACTGGAGGCTTTTCATCTGTATGCTCTATTTGTATCTCTTAAATCAAGGGTATCAACTTGAAGTTCAAGCCCCCCGGTAATATTTCCATCTTACAAAGGAAGGTACGTGGGCTGGCATTAACGGAATAAGAACTAAGCTGGGTGTGCAACATGTTACTGTGTTTAAATCTAACAACTCTCAAAGTAGGTGTGATTAGCCCTAAGAGGACACTGCTGACAGAAAGAGGTAGGTAGGTAGCATTAGAATAGGAGGCCAGGTCTCTTCAGCTCCAGTTTTTTGGCCCTCAACACCAATGTGGGAATATTCTTACTGTTGTGCCTAATCAAACTGTTGCTTCTCAATAACAGATGAAATGGTGCCTCCTACACCCACACTTGAGAATGCCCAGTGGTCTTTGCAGAGTGGTCTGTGCATACACACAGCCCACACTCTCTGTTTCCTAAGGTAAGACGTTTTCTTCACTCACACGGTAAAAACAACAGAGACCATGCTTCAGGTCAGAGAAATGTCTCACATCTACTTGAGGAGAAGGCCAGGTTTTAGGTCTGTCATTATTTAGGCCTAGTTTTGTTGTGGGGTATCCATTACACTGTGAAGTCAAATCAACCTTGGGTCAGGAGGCAGAGCCAGCAACTAGTTGACAGAAAGTAATCAGAGTCAGAGGGAGCCTAGAAGAGGGATAGAGACACACAGGAAGTCGTAGGGAGGGGCTTTGAGGTGGGGCGGGAAGATCTATGTCAGAGACCTCCGCTTACAGGGAAGGTTGGCTAGCTGCTCTTCAACCTCTCTGAGCTAACTAGCTGGTTTCCATCCCAGCCTCTGTCTCCTGAGTTCTATTGGCAAATACCACGATGGAGATTTAGTTAAAGCTACTTTTGGTGGCAACAGCAGGAGGGGGATCCAGAGGGTGGTAAAAGTTTGGCTGAAACTGCAGGAGACTCAGGTGCAGCCACTATGCCAGCGGATGCTTGAGTTGACCTCTCAGGGCCTCAGCTTTGCATCTGTAAGAACACCATTACAGATGATATGCAGAGAAAATACAGTTTGTGTGGGGTGTTGTGCACATGTTCATGTGTATGTATGCGAAGGTGCACATACATGCATGTGTGTGCAGAGGCCAGAGGTTGACATCAAGTATCTCCCTCAGTTAACAGTAATCTGTCTTTCAGTGAGGCAGGCATTCTCACTGAATTGCAAGCTCATCAATTTGGCTAGGTCAGTCAGTCTTCAAGCTCCAAGAGTCTTTGCATGCCTGCCTCTCTAGCAACCAGCCTCTCCCTTCCCCCACATGGGTGCTGAGTGTACAAATTCATGCTCCCACACTTGGTAGTAAGCACTCTAGAGCACCGCACTCTCCAGCTTTAAGATGTGCTCTAGATGCAGGTACTTCATATTTTCTAGATAAGATGCTACTGGAGCCATTTGTGGGTGGGCATCATGAATTCTCATTAGCAATGCTCTCACCTGTCCCAGTCCCAAGGAGAGCAATCAACAGGCATCCCTAGCACCATTTATATTGATAAGTTTCATTTTCAAAAGCTTGCCAAGATAAAAATTACATATCATTCAATATTTACATAGCTCTTTCTGCTCTTAAGTGTACCACACTTAGGGAAACTGTTTGTCAGGCTGGATGTTAACCAGATTAAAGTGAATTCCTTCTGTTGAGATATGCTGGTCCCTGCAGGGAAAGTATTATCCTGATTGGCCTGAGCCCAATTCTGGTTAAAGCCATTCTGGTTTTACTCACATTGTGAGTCAGAGAAGAAAAAAAAAAAAAAAAAAAAGAAAAAAAAAACACTTAAAACTGGCGAAGTTTCTTAGATTCTACATGCCAAGATGCCCCTTCTTCAGTCAAGGTCAAATGATTACATCTGACCCCCACCTAATATGATGGTAAGGGAAAGGTGTAAAGCCTTACACTTTAGTAAAATTCCCACTTCATAAATATGTGCCATACCTTGGTCACAAAAACCCTTTCTGCCTAGTCCCCGATGTCAGGAGGCTTTCTATGAATGTAAATAATCTTTTTCAAAATGCCCTCCACCCCCAAAAAAGTTGGCCAGTAAGTCTGTATCCTCATCTCCTCCTCTTTTCTTGAGTGATTCACGAAGCCCTGCAAGGCTCCGGTATACAAAGCCCAGTTGGCTGCACACTAACTGCAGAGATTTGACTCTTCCAAGGGAATCAAACGGCTCTGCGGGGAATCCAAAGAGATGCTGGAGAAACCAGTGCACTTCCTGTGCCACAGGCCACAAATTCCTAAGTTCTTGGCTAATAATAAACAGCCTAGAAAGGACTTAGCCTTTTTCCTGTTCTCTTCAATTCCACGTTTTACCCTTCAATCAGGATGTATTTAAGACCCAGCGGAGGCTCACAGCAACTCTCAGAACTCACGCTCTCTTCTGGCCAGCGGTTCCCTGAATACAAGAATCCCTTGTGTCGAGCTCTCTAGGGACCCAAGACCCAAGAAAATAGCTCTAACTTTCAAGGTTGCAAAGCAGTTTAAAGACAGAGGCCTCGGAGCAGGGAGCGGCCCTAACCCAAGGTCTGCACTCTTTTTCAGTATTTAGAAAGTCTTGGAGCACCCACACTTCTGCGATACCGGGGTAAAACAAAGCAAAGGGAAATCTAAGTTTGGAGGGGGGGGCGGGGAGAGCCAGAAGCGTGCAAAAGAGCAAGTGCACAGCTCTCCCACGTGGGCCGAGTCAAGAGAGCGGAAGCGCGAGTCCCGCAGGGCAGGAGGGACCAGCGCAGCAGCTGGGCCACGTGTCAGCTCCCGCCTGCAGCATCTCCAAAGGGGAGTGGTACTGAGGAAGGGTGGCAGCGGGGAGCAATTCACCCATCGCCCCCCACCAGAGCACCGGCTACCACCG